TGGGGCCGAGGTTTTGCCATGGTGATTAGCTAATTCCTCATGCTTCCTTGGGGAAGGCAATAGAAAGCGGCTAACGTGGACAGATCGGTGAATGGCAACATATGCGTGCTATTTAGGAATATGGATATAAGTGCTCAGAGAGTCAGCTAAAAGTGGGTGCTTCTGGGGAAGAGACAATTAAGGATAGGAAGATCAGGGGCTGCTGTTTTTTTGTTTTTTTTTTCCGACCTGTTTGTCTCTTTTTTTTTTTTTTAATTTTTTTTTTCAACGTTTATTTATTTTTGGGACAGAGAGAGACAGAGCATGAACGGGGGAGGGGCAGAGAGAGAGGGAGACACAGAATCTGAAACAGGCTCCAGGCTCTGAGCCATCAGCCCAGAGACTGACGCGGGGCTCGAACTCACGGACCGCGAGATCGTGACCTGAGCTGAAGTCGTGACCTGAGCTGAAGTCGGACGCTTAACCGACTGCGCCACCCAGGAGCCCCCCTGTTTGTCTCTTTAAATTATGTGCATGAATAGCTCTGAAAAATTTTTTCAAACCTAATTTTTAAAAATTAAAGAAGGTAAGCTTGTAGTCTACAGGAGAGAAAGTTGAAGAACTTCTTGTCCGATGCTTGAAAGGTCCGTTCTGGAGAACCCCGCAGGGGTTCGTGTCCGCCACCCCCCGCTGGTCCACCCTGGGTAAATGAGCCAGCTTCTCCCAGCTTCTGGGGGCCTCTGCCCCAAAGTGGAGACTTCATAACCGTATCCACTGAAGGTTAGATGAGTTGATGTGAATAAAGGACCTGGCACCGTGCCTGGCATACAATCAGCGCTCGGTTGATGTTAGCAGTGTATTCATCAGGATCAGCTTGATTTTCTCCGCAGAATGCAAAGGAGGGTGTTTTGCGGAAAGGGATGGGGGAGGGGGTGGGTCTGGAGTTTGAGGAATGAGGTGAACACGGAAGGCAGTGGAAGGCCCTGGACTAGAACTGACAACCACTGCTGCGTGGAATCGGGGGCAGCCGTGGGGCCTGGAATGCACGGCCACCCGCTGCACCTGCGCTTCTGAGGCCGCAATGCCTGGGGTGGTCAGGGCCCTCCAGCGTCGGGATCGATGGGGGCTCGGAGCTTTGCTGAGCAAAGCCGGCAAGGGAGTTAAAAAACAGTGGCAAGAGAGCGATTGACATGATGGACTGGAGAGTTTCGCCGGAAATGGAACCTGGCAAAAGAAGAAGTGACCTGATGGATGGAGCCTGGAAGCTTGCCTGTGGCCAACGAGGATTACAGGGAGGAAGCGGTGCGGTGAACAAGAGGGAAGGGTCCCCGAGTTCAGACGGGACGTCAGAGAGGATTGGGAGGGGGGCGGTTCCGGTTCCATAGCTCCACGGTATGGGAGAAAACCCACCACACGGAAAAGAACGTTTCTCTGTTAGATCCGCGCAACAACCTTAGAAAGAAAGAAGGAAGCAAACAGACATCTGGTGAATACTTACCAGGTGCCTGGATTGATGTTCCCTATTAATCGCATTTATTTTTTGCAACAGTCTCATGAGGTAAATAATAGCCCCCATTTTACAAACGAGCAAAACTGTAGCTCAGAGAGATTGAATCCCTGGCTCCAAAGTCAATGTAACTTCCACGGGCTGACCGTGAACTCAAAGACAAGCTCTTGGCTCAGCAACTAGCTGGGGAAACCGGGAAAGACGGTTCCGTCTCTGAGGCTAATGAGTGGGCCGGGCTAGATATTCTCTACGCACTTCCTGAATTAATACCCAAATATCCAAATAAGGATGTCAGTGAGCACCGTCTTCCTCATTTGTCAGGTAGAAGTAACAGAATCTTCCTTACCCACCTCAGATAGTTGTTATGAAGATCAAATAAGATAATGTATGTGAGAGGGATTTATAAATTAAGACGCACTGAGACTTTAAAACGTAGAAATACGGGATCGGTGGGGATCAAAGTCATGAGGAAGAAAAATGGGGAGACTGAGATTCAAACGGTATCCACTGGACATCTACTCTCCCACCTACTAGCCGGAGACCTTGGGCAGATTATCGAACACCTCTGTGCTTCTGGAAAATGGAGATTGAAAACTGGACTGCCTCACAGATTTATTGTGAGAATTCTGTAGCACAATGCAAGGGCTGAAAATATTCACTGTTATCATCATCATTATCACTGTTTGCTAGGTGTGTTGTTTTTGCATAAAAATATGTAATTACACTAAGAAATATGAATCTATATTATATCATGTAATTTACATATATTCTTATATAAAAATGCCTCTCCTGGAAAATATATAATATATATCTTACAGACTATAACAGATAGATAGGTAGATAGATAGATAGATAGATAGATTGCTAGAGGATTAGAAAAATATTCAAAGGGGAAGTATCAGGAGCCTGAAATGGGAATAAAGACAGAGCTTGAAGAAAAAGATAGGAGAACTGGGGACACATGGACTGCTGCCGACACAAGCCTAATAAAGAGAAATAACAGACCCGTATGTCTGATCTGTGGAGTTCATGAAGTCGGCTCGGCTGCCTGCAGAATATCAGTCCTCAGAAGTATCAGTACTTCTGATGAGTACTTCTTTTTTTTTTTTTAATGTTTATTTATTTTTGAGATAGAGAGAGACAGAGCATGAACGGGGGAGGGTCAGAGAGAGAGAGGGAGGCACAGAATCTGAAACAGGCTCCAGGCTCTGAGCTGTCAGCACAGAGCCTGACGCGGGGCTTGAACCCACGAACCACGAGATCATGACCTGAGCCGAAGTCGGACGCCCAACCGACCGAGCCACCCAGGCGCCCCCTGATGAGTACTTCTGATGAGTACTTCTGATGAGTACTGATACTCATTCATTCTAGAACCTAGTGTGTGCTTCCGATTGTGTTAGGTGTGGGAGAAGAAAAGATAAGCAAGGAAGTTCCCTGCCTTTAGGCGCCTAGTAGAGAAAGAATCCGTTATTTAAACAAACTGCTCTGATACAACATACAAACTCTATTTTTTAAAACAAGATAGTAATAAATGCTAACATACATTGACTGCTTACTGGGAGCCAGGTGCCGTGCAAGTGCTTTATACATATCATCTTCTTAAATCTCCCAGAAAAGCCAGGATTCCAGTTCCAGAGTTGGCACCATGGACACATTACCCTGCCCTGACTAGAAGGACCCAGTCAGGAGGTGGTTGCAGTAATTGAACTGGGAAGGGCAAGGGCCTGAACTAGGGGAGTGGTGAAAGGAATATAAGATGAAGATATGAATTCAAGTTATGTTCAAGGAATTAAAATGGGCAGGTCTTGGCAACTGATTACGTGTGGTGGGTGAAGAGATGCCGGAATTGAAACTTCCAGAGAACTCTGGAGGGGCTTTGGCCAGTGACATGAATCTAGGGGACACAAACATTTACATGTTTTTAAAAGCTCAAGCTCTTTTTAGAATCCCCAGTACCAGATACTGCTAGTTTCCTACCTACTATCCATGAAGTCATCTTACTGAATAGAACATGCACATTATTAGGTACAGAAAAAGATTCCAGCCACTTTTCCTTCTAGAAGTAGCCAATGAAAAGCTAGAAAAATGCATTGGACACAGCTGCTGGAAAGTTCCTTTGTTCCTCTCCCTTCTTTTCTAAATAGAACACGGGTATGATGGCTGGAGCTTCAGCAGCCTTTTCTGTGGACCTCGAGGATAAGCACTAATTGCCAAGGATGGAGGAGTTAAACACACAATAGCCTGGGACACTGAAGTCATCGTGGCACCATCACACAGGCCCTGACTGTTCTATCGCTGGCAACCGCCACTAAGTGATATGCCTCACTTTGCCACAAAAACGAAACCCCCGTTCTCTCTACCACTCCAGGTCTCTATTCGTTGTAGGGAGCTAGTTGGACTCAAGGCCATCCTCCATGGCAGTCAAGCAGAACTTGGAACGAGAAACCCAAATTCAAAAACAAAGAGGTGGGATTCTCTACTCCCTCGTGGCCTTCCCGTGTCTCCCTTTGCCCAGGAGCCCTCGCTCAGTTGAAAATTGGGTTTAGGTTTTGCTGTCAATCAGGTTTCTGTCTTGTGCGACCATGTAGATGCCACCAACTGACACCAGAAGGAGAGCAGGGGTGTCCAGAAGACAAAGCATTCTGTTTGGAGAAAGTTGCATTTAAGATGATTTAAGGATAGCAAGGTGAAGTGTCTTAGTCCTTCCGGGCTGCTATAACAAATACCATAAACTGGGTGGATTATAAACAAAAGAAGTTTATTTCTCAGAGTTCTGGAAGACTAGGAAATCCAAAATCCAGATGTTGACAGATTCAGTGTCTGGTAAGAGCCCATTTCCTGGTTCATAGACCATGTCTTTTCACCCTGACCTCCCATAGCACAAAAGAGGGATCTCTCTAGGGCCTCCTTTATAAAGGAACTAATTCCACTCATGAGGGTTTAGCCTCTCAAAGGCCCCACCTTCTAATAGCATCACCCTGTGGATTAAGATTTCAACATCTGAATTTTAAAGAGACATAAACATTCAGTTCATGGCATGAAGATTTCCAGAAAGGAGTTGGATATGAATCTGAAGCTCAGGAGAACAGTGTTGGCTGGAGGGCAGGTGGGTGTCTGGAACCATGAACATGGATGGGGTCACTAGGGAGAGTGTTGGAAGGAGAAGAGCAGGCAGTAGGAAGTGAAAGAACACTAGGGATGCCAACGTATAACATGTGGGCAGAGGAGCCCCCAAACGGTGACAGAGGAAGCCCAATTCAGTAAATGAATGAAAACGAGGAAAGAAACGTGTGACGGGCTAGGGAGTCAAAAGACGCCAAGAAAGATTCCTTTAGCGAAACCTTCTTTAAAAGGTTCCCCCCCCCCCCGCCCAAAATCTTATTTAGATGCAAGCTGTCCTCCACGAGGACTGAGGTATGCTGTCACACAAAGGTTTTTCTGACTCGTAAGGCTTTCCTCAAGTCAAGGGGAAAAAAGTGAGGACCGGTGGAAATCTAAAGACAGGGCGGTGATGTAGGAGAGACAGGGAGGAGGAGGGGAGGTAACAGACATGCTCTACCTCTAGCTTCCCACTGTAATTTTGTGAGGCAACGGATTGACCATTGTGCTAGTGTTCCGAGCTCAGTGGACCCTGTTTGCCACGTTCCAGGAGCCTGCTGTGTCAACCAGAAAGCCAAGGGTTCAGTTGTCAGAGTCCTTTAAGATGAAAAAGGTGAGAAAAGCAGGTTAAAGTGTAAGACAGAGTCTCTGAGGCTGTAGATGACCATTATTTAAAAAGTCCTATCGGAGGCACCTGGGTGGCTCATTCGGTTGCGTGTCAGACTCTTGGTTTTGCCTCAGGTGATGATCTCACGGGTTCGTGGGTTCAGGCCCCACAGTGGGCTCTGGGCTGATGGTATGGAGCCTGCTTGGGAGGGTCTCTCTCCTTCACTCTCTGCCCCTCCCCCACTTGTGCTCTCTCTTTCAAAATAAATAAGTACACTTTTTTAAAAAATAAAAAGTAAAAACTCATAACTATCTGGTTCTTAAATTTGTAACAGAATAAATATTTAACTTGCATGGATATTTGTAAAAGATTATCCATTATTTTGGTGCAGTTGTGAGCCACTAGTCCCATCACTTAGTTTAAGAACTCTATTTCAATAAATAATTCGGACTCTTTGAAAACATATCCTTTAAATCAAGCTAAGAGTATTTCCATATCCTTTACTAAAACCACTTCCATTGTTACAAAGGAAGCACATCCATGTGTAAAACCTGTGATTTTGCCTGTTTTTCTTATATAATGTGCATTGTAAACACTAAATCTGTCAGGTGCTCGCTATTCATGCAGGTAGCAAGCTACTCTGTTGACGATTCTTTTGACTGCGAAAATCCTTTCTTTTGAATCAGATGAAATATTTGTTTATTGCTTTAGAGTTTTATTTGTTTGTGTATTTTCTCAATTTCGATTCCTAAGAGAACTAAAGCTATTTCTGTGAGAAGCTCAACAGTGAATGCCTATAAGATAAGAAATCAGATAAACTATCTTTCTGCTAACTGTCACATTGGGCTTTATTAATATATAGCATGTGTGCAAGGAGGTCTCTGTAAATTCCACTACCTCCAAGATGCATGGAATGTTTACTGAAGGCCTTGCCATTGTGTTCTAACAACTGTGTCTAGTTTTAAAGATTCATTTTCAAACACTAAGATCCTTGGTCATTATAATTGCATTCCATATCTCTGAAGAATGCCAGATTCATAATAGAATAGGGGACGTGTGTCTAGAGGCATGCTCTAAAACAACAATGGAAGAAAGCCCAGAAACAATGTCCTTTTCACGTTGCTTACAAAGCCTAACTGCTCTGTAATCAGGAGCACGGTGAACTTGTAAGAGGAATTGAAACATTGACTGGGTACCTAGAAACTAAAAAGGCCATGAAGGAAGGCTGGCTTGTCAAATGGGATTTCCCTCTTCCATCTAGGGAACATTTATAATTTTTCCTTGTCCAGATAACACAAAGGCCCTCTGCTTTTCTTCATACATATATTCTGCATTTAGAGGAAAATTACCTCACCCTTTAGAATTTCTCCCTTTATGTTGTAAATCACAGTGACTGAAGAGGAGTCCTCATCCCCTTTGCATGCCTGAGACCAGATTTTATCAGGAAATGTTTCATCACATTCTTTTCCTGTCATTAGAGTCAATTATCATGTATATTTATGCATTCCTTTGTCTGAAAGTGTGGTTTGGGTCTGAAAAGAGCCTGTACAGAAGGGCATTTTTAATTAGACAGCCTTGCGTCTCCTGACTCATAAATGGCTAAATAAAAATTATATAGACCTATACTGGACAAGCTCATAAAAGCAAGTCTCTGCTGCTTAGCCATGCTTAGCTCATTGAGCTGATGAGCGGTCAGCTGTATTCCTTTCCACCTCACACATCACCAGCCAAACATCCAGCCAGACTCCGATCCCACAGATTATTACTGGTAATGATGTTTAAGGCAAAATTGTTTGAGCATAGCACCCTGAGCTTCTAATTTGGCAGTTAGAGCAATCTTGTCGTGACGTGTAAACTTTGCACTTAATAGGCAAGGTATTTAACACATGAATTATGTGTAGGGCTAAATGCCACGTCGCAGATTTAATGCCTCGAGTTGTGTCCGGTCTACGATCGGAAATGAGCTTTCCTAAATGTTCGGCCAAAAGACAAAAAAAAAAAAAAAAAAAAAAAAAAAAATTGCTCTTCCCTAGAATACAGGTAAAGAAGCCTGGCAGATTTCAAAGCCTATACGGTGTTTTCAGAGAGTTGTTTTATTCTTTTAAGGTGAAAAAAAACCCCCAAAAACAAAAAACTCTCTTTCTTTAAGAGGTATCCAGAACCTTTTGAGAGAGGGTCCAGTTACTAATATTGAAACTGAAAATGCCCAAACCTTGCCCTGGCGGCTGGGGGGTTGGCATCCAGCGGTCACCCTGCACGGTGGGGGCTCCACCCACCAGACAGACCCACTGCCTTTCAAGCAGCAGTTGAGGACATGAAAGGGCAGGAGCTAGGCACAGGTGGCCAGGCCGTGAGGGGCAAGTAGTCGCTGCGGCTACACGTGCTTTCAAAGGCAACAGCTTTGTCCGGTGTCCTGTGATGTCGATCTCGGCAGTGCAAGCCACGGTGTTTGTGCCTAGCACCGGCAGTTGTGAGAAGGAAAAACTTCTCCACCAATCTAGGTCTGACTTGGGGTGGGTGGGGGAACTGGCAATAGATAGATTAAAGGGAGAAAAACATTCTGCTGGCAGGTGGGAGTATCCTACAGAGCATAGCCCCAGGAGCAGCTAGGGGTAAGGGTTTTTATATGGGCTCCAGAAAGCAGGAGGGCATCAACTATAAGTTCCACAGGTATCTTGGACTATCTAGAAAAATGAGTAAAATATCTCTGTTGATTCAAACAAATGGCAAATTTTATAAGTAAAAAACAATTACCCTGTTAACTTACTTAGTTTTCTCTATCGTGAGTCACTTGGAAATTCTGTTTCTTACTATCATGCATCCTGGTGGTTCCTCTGCTACTGTTTCTTTGCATTTCACAGACTGTACTCAGTGATGCTGCACGAAATGCAGTTAATCCCCTGTCTCCGTGTCAGTTCACTGCCCCAGAGCCGCTTAGAAAAATGTTCTTTCGGGGCGCCTGGGTGGCGCAGTCTGTTAAGCGTCCGACTTCAGCCAGGTCACGATCTCGCGGTCCGTGAGTTCGAGCCCCGCGTCGGGCTCTGGGCTGATGGCTCAGAGCCTGGAGCCTGTTTCCGATTCTGTGTCTCCCTCTCTCTCTGCCCCTCCCCCGTTCATGCTCTGTCTCTCTCTATCCCAAAAATAAATAAACGTTGAAAAAAAAATTAAAAAAAAATGTTCTTTCATCTATATTCTTACCTTCCAGGATCTGTTGGTAATATTAATACAGCATTTTTGAATTTGGGGATTCTCATTTGTGATGGGTTTGACTTCTTACTGTCAGTTCTAGATCAACTATCTGTAGATAGTTCTGTAGACTTAGTTGCAAGTTGACTGCATTGCTATTCAGTGTCTAAGAGCATCCTGATAGTTGTGCTGACTTATTACTAATATCGTCATTGCGGTCTTTTTAGCGGACCGTCTGAGCATGTGTTATTAGGCAGCAGAATTGAGACAGGTGCATTAGCAACAAAAGCCTTAAGTGTGCTAAAGATTTTATCCGATACTCATGTCTCAGTACCGTGTTAACCTTGCAAAATGGCACAATTTCTCTCACGTAGTTTTCTAAATGCGTTTCCGTAGCGTCTGAATGTGGCCCTTACTGCCAACTGAATGACTGTCGAGGATGTCTGAGAATGCGGCTTTGTGTGAGAAGAGCTTCTTCGAGGAGTAGAGGAAGTACAGTTTGAAATCAGCTACCAGGTTTCTAATTGCCTCCTTGCATAATGCAAGCTGAATAGACTGAAAAAGCCTTGAGTGTGTTTTTAAAATATCTAAAACATCTCTAAAGCCCAGGCCTGCAGGTTTTGTGCTCGGTCTTGCAGCCCTTCTTTCTGTTGGGTGCCGTTCTGCAATGTACCCAGGAGCTTCCCTGGAGGCCTTCAGAGTAGCCCGCCTTCCCGTGCACGCAGGGAGGACAGCAACCCGTTTGATTACATCTGATCTGCCATGCCATCGGCTCGCTGACCAAACCAACAAACTGCCTAGAATTCCGGCAGACACTGGAAATGCGCATCTCACATAAATTAGCTTGAGCAAAGAGACTTCTTGGTAAGATGCCTGGAATTGTTGGTACCATGACGTTTGTCTTTTTTTTGTTGAAAGCAGATGTTCACCACGGCACCCTTTCACAGTGTGCTGTGAAGCCAGCTTGCCTGACACCAGAGAGCATAATCTTTGTGGTTCCACTTTCTTGGCATATTAGTCTTGATTCTATAACAAATAACTTTCCCAAACTACTCATTATTATTCCCTTCTCTCTTCTGGGGAAATGCATTCTTCTTTTCTCCTTCTCCCCCCACGTAAGATGTATTCTTTCCCCACATGCTTTTCCTTAGTTACGTGAACTGTGGAATTGATTGTGATAATTACGGTGAGCCTCATTTATACTCCTAAAGCCACTCCTATTTTCCTGGCCTTTCAGCTCTGATTTTAAAGTTACTTCCCATAGGAAAATGTAAAATTCTTTAATGTATTCTCTGATTTATAGTTGAATATATCGCATACATGAATATCAAAAACTGCCTCACATTATACTCGAGGAATCACAATGGCTAGTTTCTAAGCAAAATATTTTCGGCAACTCGAGATTTATGTTAACTGTATACAAGTACGTGAGTCTTCTTTAACCAAGCAAGAAGAATTCATAAAATAACAGAGCTGGATTTTAGAAATTCTCTAAATAATGATTTTCAAATTAAAGTCCTGCAAGTACAAGGAATGCTGTGGCAGTTTCTCTGCAGGAAAGGGCTCAGACCAGGGCTCAGACTCAGACACACACACACACACACACACACACACATACACAGTGCATGCACATCCATGTGCATGCATACACACATATGGCACACTCACACACACTCTCCACACACATACGTCACACACACACTCTGACTTCAAGTAGAGCAGTCTGCTGCTGCTGGGTTTTTACCTATAACATCTATATAAATGGTTCGCCAGCTGTAGGCATCAGCATAAAAGATCTGATTATTGGGGTACAGTCTCCTCATTGTTCCGAAAAGATAAGACGTGCCAAATGGCTTAAGTGGTTTAACCAAGGCATTGGTTTTCCGTCTCTTGGTCAAATAATGTCTTCACTCACCTTGCTTTCTTCTTGTATTCTTCTTACTTGTTTATAAAATACAGGACCATTAAGGGTTTTTTTTTTTTAATTTAAAGTTACTTTAAGTATTTAAGTAGTTAATTCATAAATAGAGGCAGTTTTAGTTTTATGACATAACCAGAGAGCTCTTTGTCACTTCCCTTAAGCACCTAAAACTATCAATATGAACCATAGGAACTAAAAAGGCATAGTTATGTATCCTAGTGTTGACCTCACCAAAATTACAATGCCTTTCTCTCATTTAATATACAGATCAGAAAACTATGAAATACAGGACAAAGAAAAGATGATATGCAAAAACAGCAAGGTTTCATTCTACTTTTCAAAACAATTTACTGTGCTTCTTTGGCCATTATGCAGAGTTTATCCACATGCTCCTGGAGTCAGTTAATAAAATATATTTGACAGTCCTAAGAAAGGGCAAGTATTTATGGTATGCGCTTAAGAAGGTTTTTTGGAGCTGTTAAAGATAGCACCAAAAAAGGATCAGAAATCCCGCTCTTCTATCTAAAAGGATAGGTTTATCCAACATAAAGAATTTCAAGAGTGGGTTTTCCTTGACATTTTAACGTAAGAAACTTACAGTAAGAAGATGGCTCTGAAGTTCCCCAAGGATATTAATGTGATTCGACTTCAGTCAGGTATCTGTTGTGACTTCACACAAACCATTTTTTTCTGTTTTCTTTATTTAAAGAGCAATATTGGGGCGCCTGGATGGCTCAGTCGGTTGAGCGTCCGACTTCGGTTCAGGTCATGATCTCACGGTCCATGAGTTCGAGCCCCGCATCAGGCTCTGTGCTGATGGCTCAGAGCCTGGAGCCTGCTTCAGATTCTGTGTCTCCCTTTCTCTCTGACCCTCCCCCGTTCATGCTCTGTCTCTCTCTGTCTCAGAAATCAATAAACGTTAAAAAAAAAAATAAAGAGCAATATTAACTAATCTCACAAGATTTCTATGAACAAAAAACTATTACGGTAGCAGAAATCTTATAAGATGCAAAAGAATGCTATTTAACTGTGAAATTTGAATCATGACAACCACATTCATGGGTGACGATGACCAAATAAAGAAACAGTATTTAACTAAGGAAAAGCGAGAGAGAAACTTGCATCCTCTACATTTTGAGAATGGTTTTTCCAGAATAAACAGTATGGACTTATATGTACACCCTCACACACATATGTACACGTAAATTTTATACATATACATACACATATACATATATGTACACACGCACACACAGGAACTTTAGAACCAGACATGAGTTTCAAACTTAGTTCCACCACTTACAGCCTACAGGACGTTAATCAAGTTGTTGAACTTCTTTCACCCAGTTTTCTTTTTAAATGAAGTGTGTACAATTTAATAGTTGTAAGTGTTAAATACAACTGGATGAGAAACTTTAGATAATGCAACTGGCACGTAGTAAACACACTGTTTTCCTAAACACACCAGAAAAAAAAAGACAAAAAACGGAAGAAGACTTATATGTTAGTAAGTTTCAGGATCCTTCAAAAGCACTTGTTCTGTGATTGCAGCCAGCTTCTCCACATGTCTTACAGCAAGCTTAGCACTCTCAGAGACGTGGTGATATTTTGATACAAATCTTGACTTTAATATAATTGTTTTTCCAGTATGTGTTTTGACTTAGTACAGACTCATAAAAATGGATTGAATGAAAATCAGGCAAAACAATTTACCTGGAGGCAGATCTCCAAGAAGACTATGTTTGAACAAACTGCAATTCTCAATATATATTTGTAATATCACGAGTAAATGAATCTGATGGCATGAGTAGTTTCCTATGAATCAAAGTTAAACAGAGAAACATCATGGTTTATGACATGTTTAATGTTATTATTGTTACTATTGTCTCTTAAAATCTACCCACTCTGATCAATTCTCTGTCCAATCTTCCCTTAAAGTATGATCTTCTCTCCTGAGGCAGTGACTGCTTTCTTCCTATGCTAGATTTTTCTTTTTTTGCTTCTGTGTGTTTACACTATTTTGACATTAAAAACCTGTACTTCCTAAAGGACATTAAATCATCCCCAAATCTTTTAGGGCTGTGTGGAATGGATAAACTTAACTGGGAATAATGAAATCATTCATTTGATTTGGGTAAATGTTAAAGATTTGGAACCCTTCTGTCATTAAAATCCCATTTGCAGGCCACATTGAAAAATGCTACATAAAGCCAGGGCTAAAGGGCCTGGACTTTTGTCTCTCTGTTCCCACCTCATTCATATTCATCTCCTTCCCCATCAACTACCACCGTCCTCACCAAGGTGGCCCTGAGGGTTCCACAGAGCACCATTCGAAACTGTAGATCACTGTGAAAATGGCCTCTTTATAATCTGTCTGGGAAAAGGATGACTTCTGTTTTCTGGCAGCAGAAAGAATTCTGCATAAAGAGTAATTGCTGAGCTCACAAGAGGTAAAAGAAATCTCCAAGAGGTTCCCCAAACCCCTCAAAGTGGAAGGAAACTGGAGCGGTCAGTGAGGGGCCGAGAGAAGAGCAGTGTTAACCTGCCTGCAGGTGCCCGGTTCATCTCTGTGGCCAGGATGAGGCTTAGACTGGCATGGCAGCAAGGTAGGGAGGCTGAAGCCCGGACTGATGGAACCACGGGACTTGGCAGGGTCTAGATAATATTAAACTGAGAGAGAGAGAGAGAGAGAGAGAAAGAGAAACATACCTTGTACATTTTGAGAATGTGTTTTCTAAAGAAGTTAGAATGTATAGTGCCCCCTGAATCTTACTAACAGCAAATGCAAATCCTCTCAGGAGAAACTTTAGATAATGCATCTGGAACTTAGTAAACAGGCCAAAAAAAAGTTACATGATACGTTAGTAAGTTTCAGATTTTGCAAAAGAACACGTTCTATAATCGCAGCAAGCTTCTCCATATGTCTTACAGCAAGTTTAACTGTCAGTTAAATTCTCTTAACTCCCAGGTTACCCTGGAGTAAAATCGACAGCATGAATTTACAATGAAAGATCAGCATACACACGTGGGGAAAAAAATCCCCTTGATGTCAGCAGAAACAGCCAATTTAGACCTTTAAAGTCTTCAGGTATGGGGGTATTAGAATTCTTTCTACTTGTTTTGAATTATTGAGCAAGACCAAAATTACCAGGCATGTTGGAAAAGTGCTCCAGAAGGAATTATAGAAATAAGAAAATAAAAAAATATCAAATTAAAAGCTCATTTGACAGATTAAATAGAAAACAGATATAGATGAGTTGAGATCAGTGGACTAGGGGTGAAAAAAGCTTATGAATCAAGAAGAATGCAGACAAGTGAGTCTCAGAGATGGAAGACACAAAAAGAGGTTAAGACATAGGAAGCGTAGAAGGAAGTCTGTATGTGTCTAACTGGATCGTTTGAATGAGGAACTAAAAAGGATGGAAAAGAACAATGTGTAAGATAAATATCATGGAAACTCGCAATCCACAAATCAGAACACAGTGTTTGCCTACCAAAGTAAATTAAAAAGAAGCCAGCACCTAGAGACCATGAACCATCAAGGATAAAAGCATGAAGAAATTTCAAGTGAGAATTGTGTACTCAGCAAAATTGCTTTTTAAGAACAAAGGTGATATATAAAAAAAAACTTATAAATTAATAAGAAAAAAATTAAAAGTGAGCAAAACATGTGAGCAGGCAGTTCACAAAAGAATTTCCAAATGGCCGTTAAGAATACAAAAGATGTTCATCAATCTTTTGTTACTAGGAGAATGCAAATTAAAACTACACCGAAATCCCACCACATCCATATCAGAACGGCATATTAAAAAGATAAATAGTGCCAAGTGTTGGCAAGAGTAAGAAGGTGACTTAAACTTATTTATTTTTAATTTTTTTATTTTTGAGAGACAGAGACAGAGCGTGAGCAGGGGAGGGGGAGAGAGAAAGAGGGAGACACAGAATCTGAAGCAGGCTCCAGGTTCCGAGCTGTTTGTTAGCACAGAGCCCAACGCGGGGCTCGAACTCACGAACTGCGAGACCATGACCTGAGCTGAAGTCAGACACTCAACCAACTGAGCCACCCAGGCACCCCCAACTTAAACTCTTATTACTGCTTCTATGATATGAGTTAGTATAATAATTTTAGTACACTCTGTGGCAATACCTACTAAAAGTAAACATATATATAAAATATTTATATACATTTAATTATATTAACTAAGAACTCCATTCCTATTATATCTATTACCCAGCAATTCCATTCCTAAATATATACACAAAAGAAATAAGGGCTTATGGTCCCTAAAGATATATAGAAAAAGTTTTCAGCAACTTAATTCATAATAGCCAAAGAAGTTCAAACAAATCAAATATCAATCAACAATAGAATGAATAAAGTATGACAGTTGCATATAATGCAATTCTGTATAACAGTGAAAAGGGATGAGTTACAGCTACATGGAATGATAGGAATGAATCACATAGACAAAATTTTGAATAAAATAAGCCATACTAAAAAAAAAGTAAGCATTATAAAATTATCTTAATGTGAAGTTTTAAAACTAATCTACAATAATAAATGTCAAAACAGTACTTTTGGAGTATACTAAGTGGAAACAAGAAGAATGAGCCTGCTAGGTGGTTGGAAATATTCTATATCTTGATTTGGAGGGTGGTTGAATGTGTGTGTTTGTGTGTACGTGTGTGTGTGTGCATGTGTACATGCAAAATTTTAATGGATATATTTATATGTGCAAAATTTATTTAGCTGTATATATAAAATTTATATGCCTAACTACATATGACTTATACATCAATAATTTTTTTTAAGTTACCGTAGGTGAAATGAAAGCATTTTCAGATTTTAAAAAATGAGAAATTTTTTAAACCTCAAACAGATCTATGCTGAAAAAGAAAGGAGAGTGATAGTTGAAGAGAAAGAAAGATTACTCCAAAAGGATGGTCTGAGATCAAAGAAGTAATGGGAAGCAAAAGAGAAGTCAATATGTGAATAAATATAAAGAGGTATTGTCTCTATAAAACATGTTGCAAGTTTATGGGGTTTTAAAAAAGAGAATTAAAATTTTGACAAAATAGAATAAAAGCTGCAATGAGGTAATTTGAGTTAAATTGTTAAATTGTTCTAATCCCCTGAGAATGGGATTATTTTATTATGCATGGCAATATTTGAGAAGTAATTATGAAAATAATAGAAATAAGGTATTTAATTTTCAAAAATAACTCACTTAACTGATTTAACAAACAAGAAATATAGAAGAAGCAGGGAATCTAGAAATCCTAAAAAAAGAGTAAAGCAATTTTAAAATATCCATAATGAAAATGAATGTAGTGCTCGCTTCGACAGCACATATACTGAAAATTAATGTAAGTAAATTTAACATGGCAGTTGAAAGAGATTGCCAGATTGCTTGGAAAAAAAAAAAACATACCTATAACCTAATGACATGTAAAGTTTATAAATGAAGAAAAAGATGACCGTTTAAATTCTAAACTAAAGAAGACATTATCAGAAAAAAATAGATTAAGATAAAAAACATTTCAGGGATAGAGAAGGTCATTATGTGATCATAAAAGTCTCAGTTCACCCAGAATGATAATTATAAATGTATATGCATCTACTAATATAGCAGGTGAAATTTAATAGAACTATAGGATGAAACTGGTAATGCCATCATCGGATGGGAGGTTTCAACATACTTCTTTCGCTTGGGTCGAGAGAAAAAAATTAAGATGGAAAAGAATGTACGACACAGTTAACCGAACCTCCACCCCCAAACTGGAAAATAAGTATTTTTCTCATGCACAATGCAAAATTCACTGCATAACTGACCATAAGTAATATCTCAAAAATTTTTAAATATTGGTTTATGTTATGGGCTCATTCACTTTAGACAATCCAAATTAACTAGGTGTCATTAACGAAATATAAAGAAAAAAAAAGCCAGTTTGTCAAACACACTACTAAAGAACTCAGTTGTCAAAGGTGAAATCAGAATAGATATTTAAAAGGCTCAACATTGAGATGTATTGTGGAATATAGCAGAAATGGTACTTTGAAAAATAACAACAGCTTACATTATATTTAAAAAAAGAAGAAAAGCTAAAAATTAATGAGCCACATGCCCAAATTAACAAAATATTGGAAAGAGTTTGGAGTTAGAAAATAATAAATCAACAAAATTACTAAAAGATAAAATATGGAGCACCTGGCTGGCTGAGTCGGTAGAGCATGCGACTCTTGATCTTGGGGTTGTGAGTTTGAGCCCCATAATGCATGTAGAGATTACTTTAAAAAAAAAAAATAAAGAAGATCAACAAAGCCGAAAGTTGGACTTTGCAAAAACTAATAAACTTCCAACACAACTATAAGGAAAAGGTGAGAAGGCACAAAAAATGTTTGGAATAAAAATAAGGAGATAGCAAAAGTTCCAGGAGAATATGAAAAAAAATATGCCAAAAAATTTGGGAACTTTGATGAAATGAATACATGTCTAGAGAATTTTTCCTAACAAATCAGACTCGGGGAGATCTACAATACCCAAAGTCTTCTCTAACAATTAAAGAAATTGAATCAGTGGCTAAAAAAATAATAATAATTCTTTAACAACACTGAGTCCAAATGCTTTAACAGTCAAAATCTACCAAGTCCTCAAGGTCTTTCTAATCTTAAAAAATATCTTTCAAATTATAGCAAGGAAGGAATTACCAACCAACTCATTCTGCAAAGCCCATATAGCTTTGACAACAAAATCACACAATAACTGTAAGAGAAAGAGAAAGGAAATTACAAGCCAATTTCTTTCATGAATGTAGATGCAATTAGCCTATTCAAAATCATAGCAAATCAAACCCAGTTATATATAATAATAATAATAATAACAATAATAATACACCATGACTAAACTGGGTTTATTTCAGAAATGCAAGGTTCATTTCAAAGTAGTAAATGTATAAGCATCATTATCTTGTTAAATTAAGATCGTATCAAGAGAAACAGAAAAAGCATTAGATATAAATTAATATTAAATCATGACTTTAAAAAATTTTAAGATGCAACAGAAGTGCACATTATCAACCTAAAAACAGAGTATCTATCAAAATCCTACAGAAAACATCATATTTAATAGTAAAAATATTAGAAACCTACTTTTAAAACAGGAAAAAGCAGGTGCCTAATTTCACCACTCTTATTCAATACTGGAGCTAGAGAAGTAAGACAAAGAAATAAAAGATTTAAAGGCCAATAAAATCCATAAAGAGTCACTATTTACAGAAAAAATGTGTTTGTCTACACATTTGAAAATCCCCAAAAGACATACAGATAGGTTTAATTGGATGAGAGAGTTTAGCAAAGAGACTGGATATAAGATCAATATGCATAATTAAACTCATCTCTATACATTAGCAATTAATGTAATTAATAGAAAATATTGTGAAAAAAAGACACTATCTGCAATAGCAATAAAAATATGATAACCTAGGGGCGCCTGGGTGGCTCAGTCAGTTAAGCATCTGACCGGCTCAAGTCATAATCTCGTGATCCATGGGTTGGAACCCCACATGGGGCTCTGCACTCACAGCTCAGAGCCAGGACCCTGCTTAGGATTCTGTCTCCCTATCTTTCTGCCCCACCCACACTCATGCTCTGTCTCTCTCTCTCTCTCTCAAAAACAAATAAACATTAAAAAAATATTTAAAAAAAAAGAGAAAACTGTTTAAAAGAAAATATGATAACCTAAAAAAAAGTCTAACAAAAGATACACAGAGATGTATACAGAATGTTATTAATCTGTATTAAAAGTCACTCAAGAAAACATAATTAAAAGAAGTTTGATTCAGTCTGGGTCTCTCCACCCCCTAAAGGTAGAAACCTGAGTAAAAGCCTTTTGTAAAAGTCATTTATTAGTCTGATTTTACAGGAAGGAATGAGGGATAAAGGAAGTTAAACAGGGAAGGAGAGAGAATCAATGCAAGGTTGCATTACTGAATTACTGAGTTGGCTGTTGCTATAGGCAACTGGATATTTGCTGCCATGTAGTCATCTGAAAAGCTTTATGAAAAGTGTCTCACTACCTCCCTTCCTTGTGAATGAAGGCAGTTGCATCTATTGATCCCCATTCTCCAGCGATCAGGGGGTGCCTAACAGGGTATGAACCACCCCATCTTCCCAGATGTGACATGTATGTTCTGAGTGGTTTCCCGCAAACATCTTACAATAAAAAAGACCCTGCCTAGAAAGCAAAAAGACTTGACATAAGTTTAGGGCGAGGTGAGGCACTGTCCTATCCACATATGTGAAGCTAGTTGAAGTTGGCATGGAATTGGTCACCGCAGCCATGTCTAGAATGAGAGAACTTGCAGAGGTGTACAAGAAGTATCCAAGACAGAGACGGATAAATACCATGCTCATGGACAGGAAGACTTAATATTGTAAATATGTCAATTCTTTCCATACCGTTTCAGATCAACATCTGAAACTTTTTTTCCTATAAACTTTGCAAGCCCATTCTAAAAATTATATGGAAGACCAAAGGGTCTACAATAGACTAGACATTTCTAAAGAAGAATACATAAGGGGTACTTGCCTTACCAAGTATCCAGACTTATAAATGTGACGTTATAAAGATAATGTGACTCTGGCACGCAAACAGACAGATAGACCAATGGAGAGGAAAACAGATGCCAGAAGCCTATCACACATGTGGAAACTTGATATTTGACTGATATCAGACATCCTGTAGACTACTTGGGGAGAGATTAATAAATGATGCCTGGGTAATTGGTAATCAATTCTCATTTATTAAAGACTTAACTGCAAAAGGCCAATTTCTAGATCTTTTAGTAGTAGATAGAGGACAATATTGTTAGTCTTTTTGGGAGGAGAAGAGTTTCTTACACAAAACTATTAAGGAAAAGTAATTGATAAAATAAACTAAATTAATGCTAAGAATAGCTGTTAACCAAAATATACCATAAGGTGAAAAAACTAAACCATATTTAAGGTCTAAGCTTCCAAGCTTAGAGTGAAAGAGAAGTTTTCTAAGAATGAAGGAGGTGACTTCCACAAATTTCCACAGCTTGAAGGTCTGTCTGAAGCTTTGGGAAAAATTTGGGGGGAAGCCCAATGAAGAAGTTGTATTTTCATTCCTGGGGCCTCAGGGGCCAACCTGGATATCCTGTCCAGAGAAAAGGATAAGAACCAGATTGTGAAGGCACTTTCATTGGATGATTCTCTGGACAAAAAACAAGAAAATTTCCAAAAACACCTAAGAAAGAACATCAAGTTGTAAGAGTTAAGTTTCTCAATTTATTTATTTATTGGGCCATCGAGGGAGGGATTATTGAGGAAAAAAAAAAAAAAAGTGTTCCATTTCATGACAGAAAGAAACCCAGGAGGAAGTAATAAAGTGTCAACTCCCAAAAATGAAATCACGCCAAATTCCTGGGGCTTAAGAAAAATGAAAAGGGCATTTGAAATTATAGGACAGCCAAATGGCTGTCCCAAACAGTGGATATAGAGACATCACTTAACATGCCCAGACACTATCCTAGTTAGTGCCTAAATCTAATTTATAGGTTAACTTGTGCAATTATTATTTGTTGCACAATGATATGTGGTTCATGTAAACTCTTGTAGGATGATTATATATTCACTGAATGATACCAGAGGAGACATGGCTAAAAGCTAAAAGAGTATCTATCAACAAAGAATAAATTCACAGGAACATGGAAGAGGGTTTTTCTTACAAAAAGGCCTATAGACTAAACATAAAATAAGTTAAATAACATATACTTTTTATGCACCATAATATAATAAATTATGACATATATTATAATGGTATGATAAATATACAATAAAATAATATGTGGAGGATATAGTAAACATAAATAAGATGCAAGAGGTTTGTATAAGTTAAGAGTATTTGTATTCACCTATTCTGCTATTTAAGCTACTGCCTATTTCCCATGGTTATGAAGAGTAAAGATGTTCATTAGTCTTTGATCTCACACAAGTGCATCTCCCAGAGATCC